CCAGAGGTGGTCAGATGCCCACTGCCGGTCGCTTGCCAGCTCTGTTCTCCAGCGCCTAGTCAGGAACTTAGAAACCACACCAGCTCTTTTAGCAGAGGAAGTTCCTGGTAAGGGCGGAAGAAGCCGGAGGCGAAGGCCACGGAAACGCGAGGTGGTAACGGAGGCCCGCAAGGGTCAATCAGTAGCGAGCGAGGCGAGAGGCAAGGGACCGAGCAGCTTGGACTCCAGGGGAAGGAGCGGCGGGTGCTGGCATCTTCGAGGAGCCTCACAAATGCTGGCTCTGAGAGGGAAAGAAAGCTGAACGCTGAACCAAGTGCGGCTGTCAAGACCCAGTGGCAGCCAAGTACCGAGAGGAGCAAGTCCCGCCTCCCTCCTCCCGCCCCTGGGCGTTTTTTAGCGCCGTCTACTGGTGGAGCGTAATAGTGCCCTCCGGGGAGGCTGAAGGTTTGCAGAATCTCAGTCCCAGCCTCTGGGGACTCACAGAATTCTCCACTTTTACAAATAATGCTGTTAAGAGCATCGTACATATTTTTATGACTGCACATTCCTTTTGGAGGTATACACCTAGGATGTACTTCCTGGATTTAGGGTGCTTTGTGGTAGTTTATGGTTTCAATTTGCATTTTATTGTGTGTTTTTTTTTTGACACAAGGTCTCACTATATAGTCCAGGCTAGCCTCGAATTGGCAGCAGTGCTCCTGCCTCAGCCTCCTGAGTGCTGGGATTACAGGCGTGTGCCACCAGGCTGGGCTTCAGTTAACATTTCCTAACTTCTCATGAAGCAGAGCATCTTTACAATTGGGGTATCCTCTTTAGAAAAGTACTTGGTTAAGCTTTCAAGGAATTTACTATTTGATTGTCAGTTTTACTGGTCTTTGGAGGATTTTTTTTTTCTTTTGACACAGGGTACTCACCATGCAGTTCAGGCTGGCCTTGAGTTCACTTTGTAAACCAGGCTGGTCTTTAATTCCCAACGATCGATTCTCACAGCCTCCTGAGTGTTGGGATTACAGGCATGCACCATTATGCCTGGCTTTCTTTGGGAGATTTTAAATACATCGGTTTTTTTTTTTCAGTGCTAAAGTTTAAATTTTTGGTCTTGCGTATGCTAAGACATCTACTACTGAGCTATATCCCTAAATCTCTCTCTTTTTTTTAAAATTTTATTTAAGGAGAAAAGAAAAAAAAAACAGTGAAAGGGTACAAGTTATACAGATTTACAGAAGAAAAAAATGAACAGTAGGAAATCACTAGTTAATGGATTACATATTGCCATCTTAGAAATAATTGTTCAAGTCACAAAATTAAAGCTTGTAGAGTGGACATTCCAACAATGATACTGCAAACAGTTCTGTTCAATGATCCAATAAAACTCTGTGATATCATTTTCTATCTTTTACACTTAAATATACATGCAGTTATATAGTTTAGAGCACTATTCTTTTCCTCTCTTTTGTATAATGACTATTACACATTTTGGGTTTCATTGTTCCCACGGTTCTTATTGCTTTTTTGGAAGAGAGTAAAACCAAATGTGACATAACAGACCAGAATCGGTCAAGTCAAAAGGGTGGACATAATAGATAATGTAAATCTCTTTTTTTTTTTTTTGTACTGGGGATCAAACTCACGATGTAGCACTTGCCAAGCAGGCATTTACATCACTGAGCTAAACCCAGCTCCCTTAATCTTTTAATACATTGTTGTTTTGATTTTTGTTTGGAAACAGATCTCACTATGCAGTTCAGGCTGACCTTGAACTCACTGTGCATCACAGGCTGGCCTTGAACTGCAGTGATCCCCTGTTTCAGCCTCTTGAGTTCTGGGATTAGAAGCATGCACTACTATGCCTGTCCTTGTTGGATTTTGAGACAGTCTCACTGTGTAACTGGGCTTGAACTCATCATCCTCCTGTCTCAGCCTTCTAGGTTCTAGGAATACAGGAGTTAGCCATCACACCTGGTTTAATATATCCCCACCCCTGCCATGATAATGGGCTTCAAAACTAGGGACTTCCTATTGAGCTGCATCCCCACCTCTTTTTTTTTTGAGACAGGGTCTCTGTGCAGTTCAGACTGGCCTTGAGCTCACTTTGTAGCCCAGGCTGGTCTCAAACCTGCAAGGATCCTCCTGCCTCAGCCTCCCGAGTGCTGGGATTACAGGCGTGAGCCATCCTGCCCGGTTTATTTCTTCTTTTAAGACAGGGTCTCACTGTATTGCTGAGTTGCCTAGGCTGAGCCAGAATTTGTGATCCTCTTGCCTCAATTTCCCAGAGGTCTGGAATTCTACAGATGTGCACCACTACAAGCAGGTTTTTGTCTGTTGTTTGTTTTGGGTTTTTTTTTTTTTGGTACCAGGGATCGAACTCATAACCTCAAACTTGCCAGATTTGTGCTTACACCACTGAGCTAAATCCCCAGCCTAGTTAATTATTTTTTAAGCTAATACACTAGGGATATAAGTCCTTTCGATTACAGATGGTCCCTGACTTACAATGGTGCGACTTAATGATAGTCAGAAGTGACACACATTTTGAATTTCCAACTTTTCCTGGGCTAGTGATCCGCAGTACCATACTCCTTGACAATCCTCAGCTCGGTCAGCTCCCAAAGCACCCACACATGAGGGCAAACAGCTGCAATGCGGTGTTGCTAGGCTGTGATGTTCAGTAGGTAGATGCCTTAAATTATTTCAGCTTACAGTGTGATTAGCTGCATGGAACCCCACTTAAGTCGAGGGGTGCTTGACCCCCATAGCAGGGGTTATGAATGAACTTTGCTTAAACTTTCTGCTTCTGCTACTGGACTGTTGGGTGCACTTGTGAGTGCCTCAGGCACGGTGGCTGTCACCCGGTCCTCTCCAAAGGGCACATCATTAAAGAACAGACCTGTATTCCCACAAGGACCCCAGGGCTCCACAGCAGCCACTGAGCTGTTTTTTCTGGGATGTGCGACATAGAAGCTCTTTTGCTTCAGTCTGGGCCCAAGCCAGAGATTCTGAACCTCCAAAGCCTTGATATAGCTGTCAGGTTATCTAGGCCAGCCTGATTTATTCAACTTCTTTTTCTCCTTCTAGTCATCCTTAATTGCTTCTATTCTGGTTCCTGGATCATGTGTGTTTGTAATTTTTCCAAGGTGAAAACAATCATCTTTGCCCCTTTATAACTTCTCAGCATATTGCAGGACCCAGGTTCTGAGTTCTCACTTCTGTTGCCACTGATACCTCACTGGCGGGCAGCTCCTGCCCCTTTTGAGGCTCTCCTGAGGTTGCCCATGCCCTGGAGCAGGCCCTGTCCTGTTTCACGGCTGCTCTGCAGGTGGCAGCTGGTGCAAATGAGACCCAAATGACAAAGGAGTTCACTCCGCAGGCTTAACAGAACTTTCAGAGGCCACTGGCTGGCACTGGAGGGGTGACTGGGGGTTCTCTGGTGAGGGTGTGGGATCACTGCACAGAGAAATGGAAAGGGGTTGAAGGGGGGCTCTGTCCTCGGAGCCCTTGGGGGTTGGGAACAGCCAGCTTCCCTGCCCAGAAGCAGGAGGTGGGCAGGGCTGCAGCCTTGGGCACCCAGAGGCCTCCCTGTGCTGCAGACTCAGAAGCACCTTTCCCTACAGGGCAGATGCGGGGCCGGACCCTGAACCCTCAGACCATTTACCCCGTGCTGCCGAAACTGCTCGCCCTCCTCCCCTTGTCCTGTCAGAAGCGGCTTTGCGGCAGAAGCCACAGCCAGGTGGGAACCTCTTTCACAGGATCCCTCCTTTCCGGCCAGGTCCCCTTCATCCCCTTCTGTGTCCCCTGTGCCCGGGCCCCGGCTCTCCGACCATCTCCCACAGCAGCCACCCCAGCCTCCACTCACAGGGCAGGCTGTGCTGCTTTGGGGGTCAGAAGGCTCAGGGCCTGGCCACTCCACAGCCCCCCAGCCCTGTTCCTCCCTTCCCTCCTCCCACGCCCCCTCCTGGCCTGGCTCTGCGCCTCCCCCTTCTGCATATGTGACTTACCACATCCCCACCTTGCTCTGCACCGTCCCCAGAACGCCTCCATGGACACCAGCCTGTTTCCAGAGAAGAAGCAGGGTGTGCTGCAGGACGGCGGGGACAAGTGGACAATGGTTGAGGACGGGCCATGCCAGGAGGGGCTCAGTCCCTCCTTCGTCCTCCAGGAGACCTCACTGTGATGGGGACTCCAGCGACTGTGGCCTCTGTCCTCACTGCCAGAAGCTCCTTGGACCCCAAACCCTCTGTTTCTCTGAGGCCAAAGCCCATCCCTCATCTGCCCTGTGGAGAAGAGCTGTCCTGGTCCAGGGGCTAGACAGGGGTGGGAGCTTTCTTGACTTTCACGTGTCTATTCTAAGGGCAGGTGTTGAAAATGTTAGATCTTAGAGCTCCTTTACGTTCTATAAAAGCCAAACCCCAAAGAGGTTTTGCTTCTGTGGGTTGTATCACTGATCGTTACTACAAAGAAATTAGAGAAGTTTTTGGGTTTTGTTTTGGAGACAGGATACATAGTTTGAACTCACTATGTAGCCCAGGCTGGCCTCAAACTTGCAGTGACCCTCCTGAGGTCACCCTGAATGACATAGTGAGACCTAGTCTCTAAAATTAAAAAAAAGAAAAAAAATTTTTTTTGTTTTGGTGACTTAGACCACCTCAGAGTTCCCAGGCCACAGTTTGAATACCTTTGATCTATTTAAATGCCCAATAAAGCAGAGAACCCAAACCTTTTTTTTTTTTCTTTTGTCTTTTTGAGACAGGGTTTCACTGTGCAGTTCAGGCTGACCTTGAGCTCACTTTGTAGCCCAAACTGGTCTTGAAATCACAACAATCCTCTTGCCTTAGCTCCCAAGTGCTGGGATTGTGGGCTTGATCCACCACGCCCGGCTTCCCAAACCTTTTCTGAAAGGGCCAGGTAGCAGATATTTTAAGCTTCTCGGTCTCTGTCAAAGATATTCAACTCTACTTTGGTATCAGGAAGGCAGTCATAAATAAGATTTAAATAAGTGTGACTGTGTTTCAATAAAACTTTATTTACAGTGATGGGTGGGGAGCTGGATTTGGGCCTACTGAGTAGAATAAGCCTGCAAGGCGGTGCCAAAAAAAGAGGCCTGCTGTCTAATTTACTTTAACCAGGCTCCTCCTAGACAGAGAGGGAAGAAACTGCCTGATCTATTTCTAACTACTCTTGTTCTTGGGTGGTAAACACCACAGCGGCCACCACAATCCTTATTTATATCCCTTGGCCTGCTCTGCCCCTCTGTGGCCCACCAAGCCTCCACCCTGCTCTCAGGCTGCTCAGGGCTGACCTCCTCACCACCGGCCTCTGCCCCCCAGAGTCCCATGACAGGCAGTGCCAGAAAGCCAACTAGACCATACCCAAGGCAGCAGCCGGGCCTCCGACTCCCGAGGCAGACCCCCTTCCTGCCACACCTTTGTTACTGGGGAGCTGAAGCTGCCCCAGCTGCCCCAGCTAGACCCAGCTGGGGGTCACCTCTGCACCCCTAGCTGCTCCACCCCATGCTCGGTTACAGGTGAGACTAGAAGCATCCTGGTGAGTGAGTGATTTTCTTCTTTGCTGCAGAGACAAAAGGCATTTCTCCAGGCTTGGTGGGTTACACACCCCAGGTGCCAAGCTGTCATTTCTCAAGGACAGCATTGTGCTTTACCATGGAGACCAGGGCCAGGTTCCGCTTTGGGTGCATCCAGTCACCCCCTGAACCTTCTTTTGTGCCTCCCTTCCCTCTGTCAGCCCTTTGGCTCTCTGGCCTGAGCTCTCCATCTTGGGTATCTGGTCCTTGGGTCACTCAGGATTTTTCAGGGCACAGGCACAACTCTGCTGGGAAGAGCCCGAGGCAGCCTAAGAGACATATCCTGGGGGGACCTGCCGTCCTCAGCCTCCACGGGCTTCATCTTCCTTTGGCTTCCTAGTCTTCACTAGAGTGATTCTGTCACTCCTAGGGGCTGGATGGGGTGAGGCAGAGGCTTGGTTCTGAGCAGGGTGGGGCAGGATAAACTCCAAACAAAGTCTACTCGGTGCACCAGATTATCAGGGAGCGACCAGCAACACAAGCAAAGCTGGACTCTTCCTGCTCAGAAAGAAAGCGCGTGCCACCCATTGGGAGGCACTCATCTGCCCTCTTGTTCCCATCCTCCAACTCCCCAGGAAGATGCTCCTACTTGGCTTTAAAAATAGAACGCTCAAGCTGGACTTTTATGGTCTGGTGAAGAGCGCTGCTCATGCCCTCCCACACCTGAGCTCTGCCCCTGCCTGGCCCCTTCCAGCTGCCCAGGAGCAGCTCTGCACAAGCCCTGCAGGGTCCCTCAGCAGATTTACGAGTTCAGCCTTGGCTCGGGTCTTCTCCCGTGGCTCCCAGCCACGGCCAGCTGCTCTCCCACATCCCGTGCAGTTCGGGCTGGGACGTTCTGTGTCTTTTCCTATCTCCACCCCAGCTTGCTGAGTCACCCCTGCTGCCCTGGCCGGCCCTGTGGAGGAACAGACCCCAGTCCGCCTTTGCCCTCACGATGACAATGACAGCTTGTGCCTAACGAGAACCCTGTTGGGACTCTGCTGTCTTGGATGTCAAAATTTAACAAAAACGGTGATCCTCTCCCTGCCTGGGCTTTGGGTAGCAGCTTTGAAATGATACCCAGCCTGAAAAGCTCACCTCAATGTGTGTAGACTTTGTGATTAATTAGTCCTCAATTATTTTTTCAGGGTGGGGGACAAATTCCATTACAGCTGTATCAGTCACATTTCTGGCACCTCTTGGCAGAAGCTTGGGGAGAGCCTGGTTTTGGGACCCAATTTCCAGCATGACTGTAGAGGTAACTCTAGAGCCAACAGAGCGTGAAGCAGTCCTGGCACTGGGCTGGGCGCTCACTGAACCCAGACCTTGAGGTTAGGTTTCTAACATACTGGAAAGAGAAGGCTGTACCATCCATTGAAAAAAGACACATGTTCTTCTTTCAAGGTTACTTCGGGGTGTCATTGACTAGATCATCAATATCCTTCACAGGTGAGGCCTTACATGGATGCCGTGAGCAGCTTCCGGGACGAGATCTCTTCAGAGGAGACAGCTGGGCCTATCTAAGTTTCTCTGGAGACTGAAATGTAAGCAATGTGAGCTTTATGGTTTCACCCATAGCTATAACTCATGTCAACAAAAACAGGGAAAATGTACAAGGACCAGAGAGGGAAAAACGCAGTATGAGGAGCACCTGGAGTGTCTGTATGTGAAGACAATGATCCTTCATTCCTCGAGGCCTCTCACCTGTCAGGGAAGCATTCATGGTGCCCTGGAACCTGGTGCATGTCGCCCTCTTCAGTTTCCTCTCTGGCTGCAGAACTCTGCCCCAGACCTGTTCACACACCTACCACGAGCCTGGGTGCCCCTTAGAGCTTTCCCATCAGCACCTGGGGCTGCCGCCATCCTGGCCCCTTCCTCTGCACCTGCACAGCCATTTATGTCTCCATTTATGTGCAGAGAGCTTGTGGGAGCCTTAGGGGAGACAAGGGAAGGGAGGCACCGTAACTTGAACTCAAACGCAGTCTAACCCTTTCCTTTCCCACTTGCCTGTGGCCGTCACAGAAGAGTCACTGGGAGGTCCCCTCTCAGGGCCAAGGGTGTGGTTCTCCATGCTGTGCTCCCTGGAGCTCTTCACCACTGAAATACCTGCTGCCTGTCTTGGTCTGCCTGCTGGGACTTGGAAGCTGAGCCTCAGTCAAATCCACTGGCTGAGAATCAGAGGGAAGATGGGTAGGGGCTGGTACCAAATCCAGGTCCCTAACTGAGAGTCAAATCACAGGAGAATGGGATGGGTGTGACGGTCATTTGTCACCAAGAGCTGGCGAGTGTGGCTTGGTGAGCAAGAGAACATCTGCCCCTCCAGAGACTTGGGGCCCCACCTCTGCTTCTTTGGTTTTTTGGCTGGAGGCGATGGTGGAATCAAGGCCAGAGCATCCCAGGCCTCCAGCATAGAGACGAGATCGCATGGGCCACTTCTGCAAGACATAGAATGAGGAGTGAGCAGCACAGCCAGGATAGCCAGGCATGGTCCAGGGTCCCTGTCGCCTGATGCCTGGCCTCAGTGTCCCTGCCTCACGTTCTTCCCCAGACCAGCCCTCCTTCCCAGCAGGCCCTCTCGGTGCGGATGGAGGGCACGGGCTCACTGCCCCACCTCACCATCTGCCAGAGTTCTAGACCTGCAGCTTCCTTTGGTCACTCTTCAGCATATTTATCAGTCATCTGCTATCTGGACGGGCCTCGGTCACCAGTCCAGCTAAGGGTTTTGCTGGGTCACCCAGGTGCCACCTTCAGTATTTCAGAGTTGCCCCACTTAGTCTCAGAATCCTGCATTTTAGCTATATTTGAAAAGAGAGAAAAAAAAACCCTCCAGCTTCAAGACATTTCCTAAGGATGCTATTTAGAAGAGGGAGTTAGTTAAAAATATCTTCTACAAAAATAAAGTGGGCTCCCTTTACAGTATTTCCCTCAGAGGCAGAGATGGCGCTTCCTTTATAGCCCAGGGCACTCTCCACCTGGCTCTGTACAGTGCCATCCCAGGGCACAGTGAGTGCCAATCCCGTTCAGTCACTTGATTGCCCTACCCTTCTGTCTCCCCATTCTGCAAAGCAGTCTGCATTTGGTCCTTGCGTGGACCAAGAGATTAAATGCACGGGAGTGGAGCACTTGCCTAGCATGCAGGAGGCCTTTGGTTCGATCCCAGGCACCCCAAGTGCTTAGCACTTGGCGTGAGCTTTAGCACCTAAGCAGGTTGCCTGTCATTACGATCATGCATTACTGTTCATTTGGAATTCCAATTTTTTGTTTTAGAGGAAAAAGCAGCTCCTGTTTGTCTCTGTTTTGCATAAGCGAGGCTGAGATTCAGGAAATCCGGGTGGCACTGGCTAACGGTGAGTGCTGGAAGCCCCTCCCCCTACTGCTGGCCCCCACTTGGTTGCTTCTAAAGCGCTGCCTCAGCTCTGCCCGCTGTTCTCTTGGAGGGCAGATCTGTCTTGCAACGGGCATCCAGAGGGTGAGAGGCAGGCACAGTGCCAGGAGCACGGCCGCTGAGAGCTCTCCTGGGTGCCCCTCATTACCTGGCCCAGCCCTGGAATCTGCTCCTCTTTTATCATCTGACACTAAGAACAGCAAGGTCTTTCCTTCCTCTTAGAGAAACTTTGCTCCCATGAAGCCACTGTCAGTCACCACCCTGTAACAGACACAGGACCAGCCCCATCCCAAGACCCAACCTTAGCTCAAGACAGGGGCCTGATCCAGTGTTCCCCCCAGTTCCATACCCTTCCTCAAGGCCCTGGACCATTCAGATTTCGTCACCCAACAACCCAGACCCAAGCCCTACCTTGAGAGGGTGCAGGTAACGGAGCCCACGCAGGAAGGGTGGCCAGGCAGGGCTGGGCAACTCGTGGCCAAGTGCACGGGTGAGGTGGGCTATGTAGCTGGTGGCCAGCACCAGCACGTCCAGCTTAGAGAGCTTGGTGTCAGGAGGCACGGCAGGCAGAGTGGCTTGCAGGGCCAGGAAGGCCTGGCGCAGGGTCCTCACCCGGCTGCGCTCCCGGGCTGCGTTCTCCGGACTGGCGTCACTCTGCACGGAAGACCCCAGTGAGTACATTTGCCCGGCTATGTGTCTGGAAACACACAGCCACACCCCACTGAGTAGCACTGAATCTTGACCCATGAGGTTCTAAGTTGAAGGGGTTGCCGCATGGAAAGGAACCTGAGCCAGAAGTCAAAACAACAGGCCAAATATAAAAACAAAAACAAAACCAGGCCAGGTTCCGGCCCTGCTGCGGCCTGCAGCTTGGGGACCGTGGCTGATGCACACCCCTCCTCCAGGCCTCAGTTTCCTCCAGAGGAGCAGGGCCAGCTCTCTGAGCTGTGCTCTGGTTGAGACCGACTCTGATTCATGCCTGCCACCCCCAGCATGGCGCTGTGTAGTTTCAGAGAGGCAGATCCTACTCGGATGGCATCAGTAATCCTGCGGGAGCCTCTGCCCTCAGGGAAGGCACCCATGGCCCCCAGCCCCTGCCTCTCCAGTGCCCTCTGCTGGTCCAGGATTCCTTACCCTGCCACAAGCTGGGCCCCCAGCCCTGGCCCCTCCAGGGCTAGGGACAGCTCGGCTCCACCTTTGGTCGCTCCAGCTGGTCTCTTCCCACTGCCTGGTCCTGCTGAGGTGGCGCCTCTTCCTATCAGTGCCTGGCAGCAGCCGCGTTTTGGCCTTCGCCCGGCCATGTTCCACTCTTGGCATCACTGGTGGCCCTCGGCCTTCCCTTTGTGACATGCCACTCCCCTGAGATACAGGGCCGCAGCCTCACAGCAGGAGCACAGTGCCTGAGCGAGCCCTTAGGCTCAGGCTAACTGGGGCAGGCTGGCCATCCAGACAGCAGTGTCCACATCTGAGTAAGTTGGCGCCAACTCAGTACTGCCTTGCTCCTTGCTCTGGGAAAACTGCCCACCCGGCACAGCCCCCGCGAGGAGAAGCCTCCACCCGCCTCCCAGCCTGAATGAGGGGTGGGGGTGCTAGATGCTGGGAGTGTCCAGACGGTGGGAGGAGCCCCCTGCTGAGGGAGGCAGGGAGGTGGGTGGGAAGGGTGCACCCTGGGCCATGGCTGACCCCATGAGTGTCCTGCGGTGGACCCACGGCTTCAGCTTAGGGGCTCAAGTCCACAGAGAGCCCTGGACCTCCATCCTCCATAGCACGTACAGCCTGCGTATGTCCCCCAAAGGCCTTGTCTCCTCTAGCCGGTGAGCATGGCCTTCCAGCCCCAGGAGCTGCTGCCCACCTCCCAAAGCATGGCTCCCATTTCCAACCTAGGACTGTCCTGTCACGTCACGTTCACCCTGAAAAGCCAAACTCCAGCTCCACCCAGACAATGCTGCCCATCCTCTGCATCCCGCCCTCCAGTTAGGAGGATCTCAGACTCCCTGGAGCCCAGGCCCGAGTCCCTGTCTGAGGAGCAGGGCCCCAACCCAGTTGGTCTCCTAAGAGGTCAGCACTGACAGGTCACTGCGTGCCAGGCTCTGTGCTTGGCTCTATGCCTGTCATCTTCTTTACCTCTCAGAGCATCTGATCTTTGAGGTGGGGAAACTGAGTGATCATGGCCTGAGATAACATGCAGTGTCAGTCTAGCAAGCGGTGGGGCAGGACGAACACCCAGGTGATTTAGGAGGCCTCCCCTCATCCTGTGATGCTCTGCTCCCATGCTGCACATGAGATCTCTGAGGCCAAGGACCATGACCCGCGCTGAGTCCTTTGCCTAAGCAGGGCAGGAGGCTGGAGGAAGAGTGAATTCGCCCTAGGGACCCCTTCCTGGCCTCAAGTGACAGCCCTGGCATGCAGCAGAGTCCACCTTGCATGTCCCCTGCCTCTAGTCTTGACCTCCCGGGAGACAAAGCAAAGAGATGGTACAAACATGGATATTCATACAGCGAGAGAGACCCAGCCAACGGGAGAAAAACAGAGAAGAGAGAAAAGTAAAAGCAATCTGAACGTCCATCAGTAGGGAAGCAATAAAATAAATGTTGGTGGATCTGCATTACGAGAGAATGGGCAGTAACAGGGTAAGACGAGCATTTACAGTGATGTTTAAAAAACTCTCCAAGATACATGGTTAATAGGGAAAACCTTTTTCATTTTTATCGGTACCAGGGATGGAACTCACAACTGCCTGCTTGCAAGGCAGGCGCTTATGCCACCCAGCTAAATCCCCAGCCCCAAGAGGGAAAACCTACGGGCCGGGGATTTAGCTCAGCGGCATAAGCGCCTGCCTTGCAAGTGTGCGGTTGTGAGTTCAATCCCTGGTACCGGTAAAAATGAAAAAGACACACAAAAAATGGAGAAAGAAAAAAACAAAAAAACCCGGTATCGATAAAAAAGAAAAAAAAAAAAACAAAAAAAAAAAAGAGGGAAAACCTAGCTGGACATTTAGCTCAATGGCACAAGCGTCTTCCTGGCAAGCATGAGGTCATGTGTCTGATTCCCGGTACCAAAATAAATAAATATAAAAATAAAAAAGACAGAGAGAGAGAAAGTCTAGTTGTAGATAAATATAAGCTTACAACCAGCCAAAAAATACTGAAAGAAAGAAAAAAAGAAGATACAAGTATAAAGATTGATATAAGTATAAAGATGAATGTGAAATCAGACTAAAATGCACACCAAATTCTTTTTCACAGCAGTACAATTAAATATCTACCTTAATTCGTTGCACGCTGTCACCTTTGAACACCAAGGCCTCTTGCTAACCTTTGTCCCTCGCTTCCTTTGTCCATTTCCTTTTCTTCCATTCTCTGTTCCCATTACTCTCCTGCATCTAATCTTTGGTTAGTAGGTGTGGTTTTAAAACACTTGCACCGAGTTTCCTCTTTGAAGGCCGGCAGAACTGCCCTGCCCTGGAGGGAGGCCAGACTTTGGACTTGCACTGAGGAATGTAACAGGGAGGTGGTCAGCAGACAGCGGGATGAGCACATGGAGGACACTGTAGCTGCCTCTTGGTTCTCTCCTTTTATTCCTGTCCTCTTCTGTGGTGTCATGATTCACACTGTGGAGGTCTGTGTTCATGAGAACAGGCCGAGGGTGTAGCTCAGTGACACAGCACCTGCTTGGCAAGCGCGAGGTTGTGAGTTTGATACCTGCTATCAAAAAAACCCTTATGAGAAGAGTGCTGCTCTCTCTCTCTCTCTCTCTCTCTCTCTCTCTCTCTCTCTCTCTCTCATGCTTTGCTGTCTTCTGCCACCATGAAGTGTTGTTCTTCTGTCCTGTGCCACCCTGCTTTGAAGCCAGCCAACTATGGACTGAAACCTCCACAAATGGTGAGCTAATCTTTCCTCTTTAAAAAAATAGTGCTTGGGGGCTGGGGATTTAGCTCAGCGGCATAAGCGCCTGCCTTGCAAGCAGGCAGTCGTAAATTCGATCCCTGGTACTGGTAAAAATGAAAAAGACAAAAAAAAAAAAAAAATAGTGCTAAACTTAGTGGTTTTAGTGAAATTACAGATAATGGTGTGATATCATCAATGTACATTCTGTTCTAAGTAAATAACCTCTAAGGAGTCTGTATTCTCCTCTCCTCTCTCTTCCCTGCCTCATCCTCCTCCTTTTGAGACAGGCTCTCCCTACATAGTTCAAGCTGGCCTTGAACTCCCCATGTAGCCCAGGCTGGCCTCGAATTTGAGGCAGTCCTCACCACTATGCTTGGTCTTTTTTGGTGTTTTTGATAAAGAAAAATTCTAGGTTTTGACTGGCAAACCCCTGTTTTAGTCTCCAGTGGCAACTGTGTTCATGATGAATTTATCAAAATTAACCAGCTACTAGAACCAAAAGAGACTTTGCTGAAGATTTAGGTACTAGGCTATGTAAGAAAAGCTTAAGAAAAGCTAAATTTGCTATAAGGAAAAAAACACAACATGCTTAAACTGAGCTTGGTGGCACTTGCCTATAATCCTAGCTACTTGGAAGGCTGAGTCAGAAGGAATCACAAGTTAAAGGTCAGCCTGAACAATTTAGCAAGACCCTGCCGCAACATTAAGAAAAAAAAAAGGAGAATTGGGGTGCAGCTTAGCAGGGGAGGGGAGAAAAAAAAACATTCCTTAGAACAGAATTAACTTTCAAAAAACAGGACATATACAGGGGATTTTATTTCACAAAGAGAGAAAAGGATAGGTAATTTTTTTTTTTTTTTGGTCTTTTTCCTTTTTACCGGTACCAGGGATCGAACTCACGACTGCCTGCTTGCAAGGCAGGCGCTTATGCCGCTGAGCTAAATCCCCAGCCACCTAGGTAATTCTTAAAGGAAAACTATGCATTACAAAAATGGAAGAAAAAATCCAAGGCAAACTGTCCAGGACTCTTCTGAAGTCAGAGGTGGAAAGGAGTCCACGTATAACCGGGGAAGGCTGATTCACAATTTGTCCATAGAGATGGGCTCTAAAGTCACTTGGGGACAATGGCCAGCACTCCATCGTGCAGGGGCTAGGGCTAAAATCCTGTGGGAATTTTTTGGAAAGCACCAATCATGGAAAGTAATAGACAGGATTTGCAAATAAGACAGTGTATATTGGGGGCTGGGGATTTAGCTCAGTGGCATAAACACCTGCCTTGCAAGCAGGCGGTCATGAGTTTGATCCCTGGTACTGATAAAAAGTTTTTAAAAAAAAAGACAGTATATGTTAAGAGCCAATGTAACAAGAATTATAAGCTGAAGGTTTAGCTCAGTGGCATAAGCGCCTGCCTGACAAGTGTGAGATCATGAGTTTGATCCCTGATACAAACAAAGAACCTATACAGCATCCAAAAAAAGCCAACATTTTCCAATCAAGTGAGACTTACAGTTGGCTGGCACTGGAAAAAATCCTAAGCCATACTTAGACTTTGCCAATGAAAAATAAGCAATATTGGAAAATGACCCTATTAGAGTTCCATCTCCCTCTGATTTTAAACTGAGAAATAAGACTTGGTTATCCCCACAAAAATCTGTGGAATTCCAATTTCTTACAAGTCTGACCTTTTGTCTGTACAGCTATTGCTAATAACATTTGGTACGTGGGAAAGGAATGACTTTGGTGGGAAGGAATTCAAAATGATATTGCTATTATCTGACTTCTTCTGCAGTGTGATTATGTGTTTCCATCCCCAAGCTGGAATCCGGTGTGATACCAAAATAACAGGACAGATTATTAACAACAGATAAAGTTTACAATGGTTTGGGTATCAAAGAACAGTCGCTCTTAAAATTAAAACTAGTGGCTTCACAGGAGATTTAGCCATAAAGTCAAATTGGCCAAAAGAAAAGAAAATAGAAGGAAAACATAATAAAATATTTTGTAAGGTATCCATGATTACAGGGGAACATGCTGTCTGTCAGTCTAATGAAAGATTACAGTGCTTCTTATTTGGGAAACCACAAAATGACAAATGACACTGGTACAGCAGGAGGCCCCAAAGGGTGGATGTGGGAGGCCACAGAGGCTTCCAAGGAGGCTTGGGCAGTGGCCTTCAGGGCCTCGGGAATGGACATGGCAGGAGCTGAGGCTAGGCTGTGGGGCTCGCAGTGGCAAGACCAAGGACAGCGGATCCCTGTCACCAAGCTGGCCCAGCTGGTCAAGGACATGCAGATCAGGTCCCTGGAGGGCACTGGCCTTCTGTCTTTGCCCACCAAGGAATCTGAGATCCTTGGGCTTTGGGTGGGGGGGGAGCATCCCTCAGGAATGAGGCTCAGGAGATCACACAGTACAGAAGCAGACTCGTGCCGGCCAGTGGACCAGGTTCAAGGTATCTGTCGCCCAATAGACCACAGTGGTCATGTTGGTTTGGGTCTAAAGTGCTCCAAGAAGGTAGCCATTGCCATCCGAGGGTGCACCATCCCAGCCAAGCTGTCACCCCTGTGTGGAGAAGCTACCAGGGAAACAAGATGGGCAAGCCCCGCACCGTCCCTTGCAAGGTGACCAGCTGCAGGGGCTCTGTGCTGTCCTACTCCCAGAGGCTTCTGATGGTGGCACAGCTATGACTGCTGTATTCCTGTCAGGGTGTGCGCTGCTGCTCAGGGCAACTTTGCCAGGGATACCAATCGTGTCATTTCCCAGCTCTACAGCTACCTGACTCCCAGCCTCTGGAAAGAGACCTTGTTTACCAAGTATCCCTACAGAAATTCACTCACATCTTATAAAGACCCATGCTAGAGTCCCTGCTCCAGCAGTAGCTGCAACACAGGGTTTTTATACAAGAACCAAAGTGACCCAAAGTGTGGTGGTGCATGCCTGTAATCTCAGCATTTGGGAGGCTGAGGCAGGAGGACTGCTGAACTACATAGTGAGTTCAAGCTGGCCTGACCTGCATAGTGAAACCTTGTCTCCAAAAGGCAAAAAAAAAAAAAGTGAATGAAACAAACAAACAAAAAAGACCATGATGACATACAGAGGATGATTTGGTGTTGGGGTGCCTGTTTCACTCATTGGCTACTGTTTCTTCTTTATGCTATACTGTTTTTAACTGTTGTAACTTTTTCTTTTTTTAGATAGGATCTCACTATGCAGACTGGGATGGCCTTAAATTCCCTGTGATCCTCCTGCTTCAGCCTCTTGAATGTTGGGATTACAAGCATGGACCACCACACCTGACCTAACTTAACTTTTTTCACCTAATAGGTAAACTCAGAATGTCCAGAAAGCAGGTGATTTTTGCTACCAGGATTTGAACTCAGGACTTCACACTTGCCAGGCAGGTGCTGTGCCGCTGAACTATATCCCCCACTGATAAACTCAGAATGTATCACTAAACTTAGCAGGCCTCTGGCCTCCGCCAACCAGGAGCTAAAAACACTTTACCATAACATCTGAAACCCACAGACCAGATTCCCCCAGCTTGCTGTAGTGCCCTCTATTTGTTGTTTCCACAGTGACACTGGTGTTGCAGGGACTTCCTTTTGTTCTGGGACGATAAAAGATCCTCCCACACAGTGGAAAGTAACATTCACAGTAACTTGAATCTGTGTTCCCAGGTCATGGTCATACAACTTTGGCTTGGAATAAACTATTTCCCTATTTCCTTTAGAAAACAAAACAAAGCCTGCATCACATATGTTTTGCTGTTGAAACTCAGGGCCACGTGAAGCTACAGTGGTCACCCTGAGCAGTAAGGCCATCTGTGAGAAACATAGAACCCACTGGGGAGAGAGACCTCTGCTCTTGAGAGCTGCGTGTGATGACCTTGTGAGAGAAGGGTGGCATTTGGACAGAGAGCAAAGCTGCCTGCCTTCCAGGCCTGAAACAACTGTATTTCACACCAGGGCTGCATGACTCCTCCAAAGCTGTCAGGTGCCAACTTTTTAGTGAGCAGGTTTCCGGTCCATCCCAGGACCCACAGACCAGCTTTCCACAGAAAACTACAACGCCAGGCGGTCTGATCAGGCAGCCTAGTTTCTTGTTCTCTAACCGTCCACGAGAGAGAAGCAGCCCATGGAACAAATTTTGAGTTCCCTTAGCTTTCAGCATGGTGTTGCTTTCTCAGAAAACTAAAGCAGGTCTCCTCCAGAAGCGTCCATGTAGAGCCCAGCAGGAAGTTTAATCAGGTCATTGTCAGGGTCAGACTTATAGGGGAAGCCAGGAGGTGGGGCCAGGGATGGCATCTCTCCCTCTGCAGGAGCGTACCTGTTGTAACTACAGGAAAGGAGAGCACTGGCACTGAATTTGTTTATCCTGGCTACATCTATTGCCGTAGTAGGGTAGGGGACACAGGAAAACCCTATTGCAGGCATGCACGCCTCCAGCCACACGGAAGGAGATCTTCTTGTGCCCAAGTGTGGGTGGGTGACCTGAAAAGCTTTGAGGTGCTCCTCCTGCATGAGGACCAGGTCCTTTGGAGACTGCAGTCATAATCAGGGGACCAGCAGTATCCACATGACCAGTGACAAGTGGCACTGACATCTAGGATCACAGTTCACATGCCCAGAGCAGCTGGGGCCATTTCAAGCATTCCAGCATCTTATGCAAGTGCTCTTGCAGGCTTCAGGGGAGGAGGCAGGCTGGGACAGGCTCCAAGCTGACAGCCTCTCCTGGTGCCGCTCAGGGCCGCCTCACACCTGGATGTCTCTGTTGGCATGTCAACTCCTGGAGGCACATGTGTAGGCAGTTTTAGAAAGTGTCCTTGGACAAAGTTCTCAGTGACAACTTTGTGGCAGCCTGGGCTTGCTCTCCAGCCTCTGGGGCATGGGTACGGCAGGGCAGCTTCTGCCACACTGGTTCTGAGTGGCTTCAGGGAGAGTGCAGACCACTGGGCAGTGGAAGCCCAGCTTTCTGTCAGATGTTGTTGTGGTTTAGACTCAGATGTCCCCCTAAAGCCCCACATGCTCACAGGTGAGCTCTGGAGAGGGACTGGGTCATGAGGTTGTGACGGTCGGCAGTGGATGAGTTCATAGCTATGATTTGGGAGGTGAAGCCTGGTTGGAGGGTTTGGGACGTGGCCTGGAAGGGCCTGTCCACCCCCACCCCATCTCACTCTCTGAGCCACCACCACTGTGCCCCTGTGCCACCCCATCCTGTCTCGGAGCCAGCGACTGTGTGAGCAGGAAACCTCTATGATCTGTGAACCAGAACACTGGTTCTCCTTTAACTCATGAGTGTCGGGTATTTTGTCTCAGTGACAAGAGAATGACTGTCACACACATTCCCTCCTGACGCTGGCCAAGCAGAGTTACTCAGCGAAAGCACCGTGCAGGTGGCCTCCTCGGTCCTGACCCGACTCACAGCCTCCCTGTGGCCCCCACTGTGGCCTCTCACAGCGACAGCATCTTCTCCCCGCCTGGGTCCTGGGTTAGTCCTGGCCCATCAGCCCCACTGTGTGAGGAAGGGAAGACACCCACGGGCGACATCCACCGTCCAAAATGCGTGGTCACCGGGGATGCCAGACAGGGCCATCTTTGCCTGGGACCTGGGCCCCATCTCCCAGGAGTTCTGATCTCTGTTTTGTCCAAGATACTGTTAAGTCGAGGCCCCTTTGAGAAAGGGTTCAACCCACTGCCCCATATTTCTCCATCTTTTTCATAGTTATGTCATAGTATTCTGTCAAAAGACTTGAGGGCCGGGCTTTTAGCTCAGCAGTGCAGCCCCTGCCTGACAAGCTCAAGGTCCCGAGTCCAATTCCCGGGACCAAAAATAAATAAATAAATAAATAAACACAGACTTGATAACTTGTGCGTGGCGGTGCATGTCTGTAATCCCCACACTCTGAGAAGCTGGGGCAGGAGGACTGCAGATTCAAGTGTAGAACAGGCAATTTAGTGACTTAGTGAGAACCTGTCTCAGAGAAATTTAAGTAACTGGGGGTGTAGCTCAGTGCAAATGCTCTAGGTTTAATTTCCCGGGGGGGGGGCGGGGAGGAGAAAATGGTAAAAATCAAAATACGTAAGGATTATTGTAACCCTCAAGCTAAAAACTCATTTGCAAAGTAAGAAAAGTAATATGAGGAACTTTATGAAGAACTAAAAAGTAAAATGAGGAATTTGAACTCAGTGCTTTCACACTGAGCTATATCCCTACCCCCACAGTAATCCCTTTACATTTCTTTCTTTTTTTGTTGTTGTTGTTGTTTTGAGACAGGGTCTTGCTATGCAGTTCAGACTGCCCTTGAACTCACCATGTAGTTCAGGGTGGCCTTGAACACCCGGTGATCCTCCTGCTTCAGCCTCTCTGGTGCTGGGATTATAAGCATGCACCACCACTCCCAGCATGCAACTATGATCTGACATAGTAAATAAAAAATGTAGATGCTGATAAATTTTTACTTCCCAAATAGCTGGACTACAGAAAGAAAGTCTGCTAATTCTTTGCTGTCTGTGTGAACCATTCTGTTTTAGAGTAAATTTATAAATTCACATTCTGGCGCTTAGCTCAAGCTATTGCATTTTAGCTGTCGTGATCAAGAAAAGACAAAGAATGTTCTTACACTGCTTCCAGTGAGTCCATTCACTTAGCCGTTCAGCGATCATTTTGAGGTTTCTGGGTAGAACTACTACACATCATTAAATAGAAGAGAACACACATTCCAACGCTCAGAGTGGCAAGTGGGAATATACGACAGATGAGATCTATGACAGGGAACAGCTAGCGGGGGAACCCAACAGCGTCTGAGCTCACATTTACCACCTGGATCCCAAATGGTTGGAGAACGCCCGTTCGCTTGGTCAACGGAGTTTTTCTGCACATATAGAAAATAAACAAAATATGAAAGAAGTGTGAAGTGGGGTCACCTTAGACACTGCATCAACACAGTGAGAGGTTTTATTCCTCCTCACATTTCTGAGGCCAAATGGGGGCTGCTCCCTGACCCAGCCTCGCCAATTCTCCAGACCCCGATCAGGGTCCAGCGATTCAGTTAAAATCTGCCAGCGCCCAGCTGGAGTTCACAGCAGCTCCCACCAACGGAAGGAGCTCGGTCCTGCAGGCCGTCCCCACGTCACATGCCAGCTGCGAGTGTCAGGCCCCCTGGCTATAAATCATCACTGTCGCATCCTCCTCCACAGGCTTGATAAATTGCCAGAACAGCTCACAGGACTCGGGAGAAAAGTTGAAATATATTTCCTAGTTTATCATAAAAGATGCCACCGGAAAGACACAACCGGGGACGGAGGGGACAGACGTGAATTCTCTCTTCCTCGCTGGCCTGCCTTTCTCCCAGCACCTACAGGAGCTCTCTGAACCCCATTATTTAGGGTTTCTTATCACTCCCTAATCGAATTATTTAAATACAGGATGCCCCCAAATTGCATTTTTTCATTAATTTTTGTAACACAATATAACAGGAAATATTAGAGTAGTGACTTTATCAAATTTACTCAGTAATTGTTCTGTGTATGTTGTATTTTAAAGCATTCAATACATAACACAAGGCTATAGTCTGACCAGTAGTATCTAGTCGCTTTCCATGTTTTTTTGCATTATTGTCTTTGTTTGTCTGTTTGTTTTTGGTACTGGGGATCCAACTCACAGCCTCAAGCGTGCCAGGCAGGTGCTTGTGCCCCTGAGCTAAACCCCCGGCCCTATCATCTTTCTTTGAACAACACTTTACACCGACGTGTTGGCCTTTGCTTTCTTTCCTGTGGGTGAAATCATTTTAATAAAACTTCTGTCCACCATTGCTTGCAACTTGTGAAACTATGCGACCTTTTCTTCTATAAGTTGCGAGTATTGGGTATTTTTTCTGGCAATGAGAAGAGTGACTCAGATGTCCCTAGCACGTGAATAGTCTCCCGAAGGACTCAAGTTTTGGTTTTGCTTGTTTGTTTCTGTTTCTTGAGACAGCGTCTCACTAGGTAGCCCGGGTTGGCCGTGGAGTTCAGGCTGGTCTGCCTGCGCCTCCCAGTGCTGTGCTTGAAGGTGTGTGCCACGAGCCCTAGTGTAAGGCTCAAGTTGTAGGGTGACCAATTTTCCCAGTTTATCTGGAGCTGTGCTGGTCACAGCATTGCAAGCCCCACCTCTCAGAACACCGTGGCAGGCCTCTATTTGCATGGTCCTTCCTTCAATATGGCTGCAAGTTTGCCTAGATTGTCCTTCCCATCACCTACCCTTCTGCGGGTGCCCGTGCCCCATTTTACCCACCGGAGCTCTCACTCATTCCTACATTTACGATGATGAGTTGCCCTCAGGTGAAAAAGCTGCAGGGGCCCAAATGAAAAAAGATAACTATAAATACTGACACCCGCAAAGCCTCCTTTAATTCGGGAATTACCGCCGGTTGAGGGCAGCCAGCCTCCACCTACCTGTTTCTGCTGAGAGCAAACCTTGGCGTTGGGAACACAGCAGTTTGGCCTTCTCTGGGATCCTCTGAATTCAGGTTTATTGCAGAGTACAAAACAGTACGAAGGATTTTTACTTAGTGACTGTGACTCCTCAATCCTTGGCAGCTCTCTAAGGAGGCGCTGCTGCAGAGAGAGAAGGCCCAGAAAGTGCCCGTCCGGGCCATTACCTGCGGGATGGCAGGGTCTTCATTCACCCAGGTGACGAGCTCACCTGATACCTTAACGCTGCCTCAGGATCCCAGTATTCAAACAGGCAGAAAAAGGAGATGGAGGCAAAGTGCTTGAGCTAGAGTATAATAAGTCAACCAAACCACACAGACATTAGAGAACATTCAGCAGCATGGCATCCATTCTTCTGAAGTGCGTAAGGTACGGTCCCCAGCACAGATCTCAAGGTCGCCACCTCAGTAGGCTGGGAAGACAGAAATCATACAAAGTAGGTTCAGCCGTGATCATGTCAGAACAACAGAACTAAAGTTGGAAAATTCACAGATATATAGAAATTAAACAACATGCCCTCAGTAATTCAAATAAGATATTGCAAGGGCAATAGAAAATAGTATGCATGAATAAAAATAAAAAGATCACACGCCAGTATCTGTGAGCACAACTATAGCAACGGAAAGAGAAAAAATCTGTATTGCAAATGCTTATATAAAAAAAAGAAGGACAGTGATCTCAAATCAATACACTGACTCTCTGAGGAAATCGGAAAGCAAAGAACCAACCAAACTCAAATCAAGAGGAAGGAAGCGGACCGAGGACATAGTTCAGCGGTACAGCACCTGCATGGCGATCACAAGGTCCTGAGTTCAGTTCCCGGTAAAAAAAATGAAGGAAGATTAGAACAAGAATAGAAGAAACAGAAAATAAAAGCAAATACAGAATACTAAACATAGCAACTTAGTGAGACCGTGCCTTAAAAAACTAAAAATAAAAAGGGCTGGGGTTTATTTCCAATGCTGTAAAAAACATTTAAATAAGTAAATAATGAAAGAGAAGATATCACTAACCACACATAAATAAAAAAGACTGCAAAGATTATAAACAAATGTGCCAACAAAAATAGGTGAAACAGACAACCTAGGAAAAACACGAATTACCAAAATTTACTCAGGAGGGCACAGAAAAACCACTTGTCTTCACTGGTATACTGAAATAAAAATTATAGGGGACCCCTGCAGTGAGCCTCCAATCTCCTCCAGGTGTTACAGTGCACAGCGAGAGAGAAAGACAGAAAGACGAGAGACAAAATGGCCCTACAGCAGGGGTTGACAGTTGTTTGCAAGGAAACAAAGGCCACAGGCAGCCAGAACCTTGACATTTATTGGCTGAGAAGGAGATCTGAGGAGGAGATAACCGGGTGACTCAGAGGTTTGTGGCGATCTTATGCCAAGAAGGATCTTTGTGCTCTGAATCTTGGGGAGACAATGGCCCACCCCTAAAGAGACAAAGTCCCAAAAGGCTGGTACTGATAATCCCAAGCCTCCATTTATCTCTGAGGGAAGTATGCAAAATTAGCCATTGTGAATTCGTGGTCCCTGCAAAAAAGAGCTAATACCAGACCTTCACAAATTCTTGCAACGAATAAAATAGGAGGAAACACTTCCAACTAGAGTGTGTTTTATTCTAATACCAAAGCCAAAAACATTGCAAGAAAACTACTGACCAGTATCCCTTATTAATACAGACACAAAGACCATAAGCAAAATACTAACAAACAGAGTCCAGCAATGTACAAAAAGATGTCACCATGTCCAAAAGGGATTCAACCAGGAATTCAGGCTTTGCTTAATACTGAAAAATCAATTAATGTAATATACTATATTGATAGAATAAACATAACTACACAATCATCTCAACAGATGCAGCAACATTTTCTACAAGCTCTCCAGCACCCTTTATGATAAAACCATTTAGTAAACTGGAAATAGAACTCCCTCAATTTGACAAAGAATATCTATGAAAAATTACAGCTAGCACCATACTTAATGGTGTAACACAAAATGTTTTCTCTATAAGACAAGGATGTACACTTTTTTTTTCCAAATCCACTTTATTTCAAGCATAGATTTTTTTAAAAAGAAGAATAAAAAAGAAAACACAATCAAATTTCAAAACACATCAATCAGGGAGCAACAATGGTACCTACATTGTGCATTGTCATCCCCAAATCATTCACCCAGAGCACCAGACAGCTGCATGCAACTGTTCAGAAAACACCAGGGCCAGTCTTTTCTCTTTACTGAACTCAGAGAAATCAGTAATGTAACTACCTTAATTATTTTTATATACATATACATACACAAAGGTTTTTTCTTTCAGCTTCTCACACTAATGAAACAATACAATGTTTACACGTGTGTCTTATTTATCTGACAGAGCATGTTCTCAAGATGCATCCATTTACCTATAAAAGTCTCCAGTTTATTATTATTTATGGCTGAGTAGTACTCCATTTTTTATTCATTCTTCAGTCAATGTGTATTTAGGTTGTTTCCAAGATCTGGTGATTACAAACTGTGCTGCTATAAATATGAGTGCACATATATCACTGTGGTATGATGCTTTTAATTCTTTTGGGAATATACCCAGACGGAGAACTGCTGGCTTGAATAGGCCCTCTAGTCTTAGTTTTTTGAGGAATCTCCTCACTGATTTTCACAGTGGTTGCACCAGTCTGCATTCCCACCAACAGTGGAGAAGGGTTCCTTTTTCCCCACAGCCTCTAGCATTTGTTATTCCTTGATTTCTTGATAGAAGCCATTCTGTCTGGGATGAGGTGGAATCTCAGTGTTGTTTTAATTTGCATCTTGCGAATAAACAGTGATGCTGAACATTTTTTCATGTATTTGTTGTTCATATTTCTTCATCTGACAAATGTGAATTCAGCTCAGATGTTCATTTTTTGGATTGCATATATAAATCTTGGAGGACTGATTTTTTAAAAATTCTTTATATGTTCTCAATAGTAATTGTTTGTCTGAGGAAGAGCTAGCAAACATTTTCTCCACGTTATGGGTTGCCTCTTCACTCTCTTGGTGGTTTCTCTTGCTGTGCAAAAGCTTTTCAGTAGGCTGAGATCCCAGTTGTTGATTCTTTGTGATAGTTCCTATGCAGTCTGGGTTGTGTTCATAAAGTTGTTGCCTACACTAATGTCTTCAAGAGTTGTACCTACTCTATCTTCCAGCAGATTAAATGTTTCTATTTTAATATAAAAATCTTTAATCCATTCTGATTTTAGCCTAGTGCATGGTGAAAGATATGGGTCCAGTTTTAATCTTCAGCGTGTGTAGAACCAGTTTTTCCAACACCATTTATTAAAGAGGCTGTCTTTCTTCCAGTGAATGTATTTGGTACCTTTGTCAAGGTGGCTTAGTGTGTCCAGAGTTGTTTTTGCATTTTCTACCCTGTTCCATTGATCTTCAAGTCTATTCTTTTGCCAGTACCACACTGTTTTTATCATAGTAGCTTTATAGTATAATTTCAAGTCAGAGAATGTGATGCCCCCTGTTTTGTCTTTATTGCCCAGGATTGCCTTTGCTATTCTAGGTCTCTTCTGCTTCCAGCTGAATTTTAGGATTGTTTTCTCTAATTCTGTGAGATATGCTATTGGAATTTTGATTGGGATTGCATTTAATCTATATAACAGTTTTAGAAGTATGGCCATTTTTACTATATTGGTTCTTTCTACCCCAAAACATGGGCTATCTTTCCATTTTCTTTCTTTCTTTTGTCTTTTTGAGACAGGGTCTCACGATGTAGTTCAGGCTGGACTTGGGCTCACTTTGTAGCCCAGGTTGGTCTCTGTCATGGTTTATGTCTGTGTCCCCCAGGCCTCATGAGTCTGCATTGTGCATTTGTGATTGGTTCATTGTCTAGTGCTTTGATTGATGGTGTCAGTGCTCCACTCACATAGGGGTGGAGCCAGGATGTGATGTAATGGCAGGAAGAAGGTGTATCTTGCTCTTTGCTGGTTCCTGCTTGCTGTTTGCAGCCCCCATGAACTGCAGCCCAGCCATGCCCACCTGCCTTGGAGCCAACTGAGTGTGGACTGAAACCTCCAAAAACTCTAAGAAAGAAACCTTTCCTTTCCCAACTTTGGGCTTCAGGTATTTTGTCTCAACAATGAGTAAAAAGTAAACTAACCCTCCTCCCCTAGCCTCCCGTGTAGCTGAAATTATGCAGGATATTCTCTCTTATGACTCTTATTCAGCATTCTGTTGGAGGTTCCAGCAGGGCAAGTAAGAGAGAAAAAGAAATGGCATCCAAATTGGGAAGCAAGAAATAAAACTGGACCACAGATGACATGATCTTATGAGCTGGAAGAAATGTAC